ATATTTCAGTATCGATCCGCACATCACTACTAAATGAGCATTTCGACATTGAATCTACTAAGCAGGGCAGCTTTAATTTTAATAAGGAATTATTTAAAGAGATACTCAAAGTTTTTTTAGTTTACATTAGTTGTAGTCATTTTTATTTTGCTAACTTTTACAGCAGACATTTATCATATTTAGACTTGACTTAAGACCAAATTAACTACAAAGACATTTCCAGTGTATTGTTATTTATTTTAAGGCAGCTATGTGGTTGCATCATTTCAAGTAGTTTTCTTTTATAAAAGTCTAGTTGTTCATTTTATTCCAGTTAACTAAATATTTTTTTCCACATCTATTTTTTAACATTGGTTTGAACGTAAAAAATAACAACTTTCACATCGACGTTACTTATTTTGGCACACTCTACACTCCATATAGGACTGTTAGATTGTTCCGTCTACTAGCGACAATATTTCAGCTTTTATGATTTTATTTTTATTTTTGAGGGTGTGCTAGGAGTTCGAAATAATTATTTGTCTGCTTGTACTTGTGCCAATACGCATTTAGTCGACACAGTTCAGAGCAGTATTCCTGCTGCTCAGTGAACTCCTCTTTTAAAATGGGTCACACATGTCACGGGGCTTTTTGTTTTAGGCTAAATGAATGTGAGCAAGCATAGTTTTCATATCAGCAGCACAAGTGTTTAATGTCCATCAAGTAAACGGTCAGTTAATGGGTTCAGTTCATTTTTACTGATTAAACAGGGCTATCACGTGATTCCTAACACTAACACTGCCTCACATAAACATTTCAATAGGCTGGATATAAACAAAGACAGAGACAGACCCGGATCTGCTGGAAAGTGCAAAAGCTCATGCAGAAGCAGGAAAATGCTTCCACCGTCTATAAAGAAGCAGGAAGACCAAAAGAAACAAAAACAAGCAAATGCTGCCTTAAAAATATATATCTAAGCAAGCGCGTACTTGCTTCATTTTGGCACGAGATAAAAGCTTTAGGTTCCTCCACATTAGCGTGTGGGGCAAGTGCAAAAGCACATGGAAGACAATGATAAACCAAATGTTCCAGAAAATGTTTTGATGATATAAGCTGTTTGTGCTGAGCTTAAATCATGAATAAAATAATCATCTGATTGCTACTGTGGGTCTTTCCTGAAAGCAAAGTTTAGATATCATCTGCTTATCCTTATACACATTATACACTCTTTACAATAAACTGTTACCTTCCACCAGTGAAGGGTAAGGCAGAGTACTCACTGACCATCACAAAGGAGCAAAATATGTCCATCAGAGGGCGCTATACACTAAGAAAGAAGTAATACACTCTCATTAGGCAGTATGGAAGTGGATTTGGATAATCCTGTGAGTTACTAAAGGTAATATCTTAATGTCTTTTAATGGCTTTGTGTCATATGTTCGCACGGAGCCAGCCGAATTTTTTTTGAAAGTCCTCTTTTTGGCAAATACCGTCCACGCGGACAAAACTGAGCTTTTTCAGAAACACTGAATCTGAAAATCGCAGCGTTAGTTTCTGTAAAGTCTTAGAAAAATGCATGTTTGGTTAAACCTCAGTAAAGAAAACAGAATTGGAGATTTAGGACTTTGTAATGGTTAAAATTTAGTATTTCACATAAAAGCCCCAAAAAAAGGATTAATCACGTGGCAGCGTTTTGGACTGTAGTGACAAGTAAATCGTGAGTTTAAAACAGCAGTGTCTGCTATCTTAATCCTGGACAAAAAAAAAGAGAAGAGAAGGAAATAATCTGGGTATTTTCGGCGTGTACATGTGGACGAATATGATCCTAAAAAAACACACATGAATGGAATCATGTAGAATTCACATTCAGCAGGCTTAGTGTGAACATGGCATGTGGCCTCACGCTCAAATGTAGGCAACACAATTAATATATCAGGAGTGTCAAACAAGTGGGATAGAACTAGGCCACTAAGACCTCAGGCACACAGAACTATAAACCAGTTGGTGAATCCCTGGCAACCACAGGTTGCTAGGGAAAAATGTGCATTACTGAATAGGTTGCAAAGACGTACACGGTGCTGCGCTACAAACGTCACTGTTGTAGCTGCTACTGGATAGCCAGGAGTCACTCATATTTTGCATGTGAGACAACTTGTCTGCAACTGCTTACTAAGCAGCAGTAAAACTGAAAGGTGTAAAACTTGAAATAGACACAAAAAAAAAAATGTCATCAGAACATTTCAAAAGGCCCCGCAAAGTGGGTGCTGCACATTTTTCCATAACTATTGGTGGTTGACAGGCAGGGGTTGCTAGGCCTGCAAGACTGAGGACGTCTTCTCGTTGTACTCTGTTCTTAACCTCCGGAAACCCGAGCTCTCCTTAGGGATGCATTTTTAATTTCTCTTAGCGATTTACGATTAGCTGGACCTAATCTTAACTCCACTATTTCTTCGACAGCCCAACAGAATAAAGTAATCATTGTTTTTTTTTGAAAAGATAAACACTTTATTAAGAAGAATGAAGAGTAAATATGTTACCATATATCCCTGTATGATGATGCAGGGTCTCAGGAGTTCAAGATATCACAGAGAGTTAATCAGATTTATAAATCAGATCAATTCATTACATTAAGAACAATTTGGAGGTTTAGGGGGGTGGGAAGAGGTTAGCCTTCTGGTCCTGTTAGGATCATACAGGATTGGGTTAGTGGCCCACGAATAAGATGAGTTTGACACCCCTGAGCTATGACAGGTTTTTAATAGAAAAAAGAAAAAGATGTTTAAAGAATAGAAAAGAAAGAAAAAGCCCAAAGCGTGGCTGCTGATAAGTGGGACGTAAGTTGCGTACAGCCCTTAGTGAGGGTGGGACAGTGTGTGTGAGCTGATTACACCCCTCTCACAGGTCAGTGGCACAGTTTCAGAAACACCCTGGGGAGTCAGCGTGGAGAGTCCCCGCCCACCCTCGCAGTACGTTTGACATTTGGTCACTTCCAGCGTAGAGCTGCTCGCTCAACTGCAGCGCAGTTTGGCCAGGAAGTAGGCCATGCTGAGGAAGATCCACACCACCAGGAGGTTGGGGCTGAGGGCCAGCAGGGGCAGGGAGTACATGAGGCTGGGGTCCAGCCGGAAGTCACGCACCGGCAGCAAGCCGCTCAGGTTCTTCTGGATCACCCCCTCCCTCGTGCCAATGCTGCCGAGCCACGGGGACGGGAAGAGGAAGAAGAGAAGGAGGAGGAGGTGGTTGTGTGAAGCAGCAAACAAGGCAGGGGGAAGGAGGGAGGAAAAGAGGGGGAAATAAAGATAAGAAGAGGGACGGAGGAGGAAATTGCAAGAAGGAAGGAGGATAGGTGAAGGAGGAGGCCAAAATAAACAGATGGAGTGTGAGTGCACACAAGTGCGACGGCAAATTAACACGTGACCAAAATAAAAAATAAAAAAATCAGAGTGACATTGAAGAAGCCACATCCACAATGACCGGAGGCATTTTAGACCAAAATAAAAACAATAATATCAAGGCGACGACAAATGGGCAGGCGGAGTAGAAATCAACAACACAACAACCCCGCAAAAATGAGCCAATCACAGGAGCAAAACAGCAATCATGTAACGGGAAACAAGAGGAGGAAGAAACAGGAGGAGGAGGAGAGAGAAAAGAGAGAAATTAAGAAAGGGAAAGAAGGTAAGAAAACACAGCAATGGCTCTCCATGTTTATATACTCTAAGACATGGGTGGAGGAAGGAGGGACAGATGGAGGGAAAAGACTGGAAAAAACACCCTTTTATTGAAGGAGTAAAGCTTAAAGGAAGAACTTCAGACTATAAATGATAAAGATGGCGTCCTATTAGAGGTAACATGCAATAAGGGTGTCTTATCCATTTACTTCATCCACTTTAAACCACTTAGTGCAGATAGCTGGGGATAAAAGAGGGAGTGAAGGGGGCCGATATCTCCAAGCATTGTTTAGCATGCTTCTGAGCTCCAACATAATAAAACAAACTCTAAAAATGATCGGATTTCATGCGCGTCGGCTGGTGAGGAGGAGGAGAGGAAAAAGGGGAGAGGAAGAAAGGTGAAGAGACATTGTATCATGCGAGTATCTGCAGGACTTTATTGTAGACAGGCGTGTTTCCATCTTTAACAGAAATATTCACAACAGGAAGTCACACAATTGTCGACAGAGAAAGTAACATACACTTTCAGAGGCTTTTAAAGGAGAAACACTGACTGTCCTCCAGCAGGAAATTACATAAATATCAATAATGCTCCGTTCAGGAATACAAATTCCCAGCATCCCTCGTGTTTCCTGGTTTTTTTTGTAAATGAAAACATTTCTTTTAAAGGGGGCTGAGTGAGAGTGGTTAGAATTTTGAGAAAAAAACCTTTAAGGTTAAAGATAAATGCGCCAAATAAATGTCAAAGAAATGTGGCTATTTCACAAGAAAATCACATGAACTGGTAAATTTGCCAGAAAAAAGTGGCAAATTTAAGCGTTAAATGTACATTTACAAGAAAAAGGGTCGTAAACAACATGCTATTTCACATGAAATTAAAATTACATTAACGGATACATTTAAGTGATAAATGTTGTAAATTTACCAAGATAAGTGGGAAATTTGAGAGAAAAGTGACAGATTTCCAAGAAAAGTTACAAACATATACAAGATAAATGTGGAAAATGAATAAAATGGAAAATTTCAGAGGAAAAAGTAGCAAATTTACCACATAATGTGAATAATGTATGAGAAAAACTCTGTATCTGCGCCTCTGTTTTTCAACTCTAAAAGTTTGAGTTTTTACTCATCTCACTCAGACCCTTTTTTGATTTATCTACTTCCTTTAATTTATTTAGTTGTTTTTTTAACCTTCAGTGACCCTAATTTGCTGTCATGAACAGAGAATGATTGTTTCCATAGTAACAATGTGGGGTGAATTCATCCAAAAAAAAAAAAAAAAAATCTTAAGCAAATGAAGGAAAAGAAAAGCCTAGGTTTTTGTCTTTATAAAGTATAGAATCAGCGTTAGTTTACAGTAGCATTTGCACAAAGTCAAGCCCAATGTTTCTACAGGCTAATCTTCTTTTTAAGGCTCTTGTAGCCTACTTTTGCTTCTGCAAGGCGCTTTGCAACCCACCTCCACCCCAGCTCTACCTTTATCTGGTGTTCCTGACTTCAACCCTGATCATTTTTATTTATTTATTTATTTTTTAAAACACACAGAGGCAAACAAAGTCCAGTTCTTTTACACAGGCAGAGATTGTTTTTGGAAGCGATAAAATGAGGATGGGTGAAGGAACTCTATGGCAGGTGTTTTGGTTACACAAATAAAGGAAAGGAAAGACAGTTGAGACAAGTAGACGGATGTTCAAAACTGATGTTTAGACAGACAAGACAAGAACACAGACCAACCAACACTCGACATAACCATTAAGAGGACTGAGTAGCAGTTGGGTAGCTCTCTTCTCCATGTAAGTGTCCTTCTTAGGTTTAAAAAGCATCAAAAGTTACTGATAAACTTTGAGCCTTTATGAGAGGAATCTGCCGGTGAAGTGAGGTAACCAACTGAGTCTTAACTCATTCGAGCATCACCTTCGAGACAGCCTCCAGCTCGCCTTGTTATGCAGAGGAAGCAGGTGATGAGTTTTCAAACCACACGTGGGCAAAACTGATTTTAGAGATTCAATAAAGTAAAACACTGAATCTGAGAAGCTGTGGATGTATTTCTCTGGAGCTGCGTAACATCAGCCATGTCTCCACATTCTGAAGTGGACATTTCTCCTTCTGAATTTTGAGAAAGTCAGAAATGTGCTTGTCTATGGTTCCTGTTTGTAATATACATGTAGAGGGGAGTACTAACAAGCATCACTGAGGCACCTTGGCACAAAAGAAAACTTTGACATGCACTGATGTGTGGAAGCAGAAGGAAATGATATGTGAAATATAGACGTGTGCCAACAAGGACTGAAAAATTAACCTGACCAAGTACCTCAAACGTCTGCCTGAGGCTGACTTCAACATAGACTGCCATGCTAAAATGTCAATCATTACAGCAAAAATAAACATGTTTACAGCCTGGTTTCAGTCTCTTTAACCAACAACTGCATGCGGCTCAAACTGGCTGCTTTGACGTGCAGACTTCACCTCCACTTGTCTGAAATGGAGCCGCTGACAGTGTTTGTGCTGATGTTCTGACAGGATCGACCAAATATTATGGAAGCTTGTTATCGCCCCTGAAAAAGCAATTTT